ATTTCTCCCCGGGAGTGGGGAGCGGAGACGTAGGTATATCTTGTGGTATTTCATATTTGCTAGGATAACTTATTAATAAGTTTTAATTGGCATTTAATCGGATTAGATTAGCATAAGACCCTAACCCCCCCCCCCCCCTCTAGGGTTTAACAGAACTAACATGAGCTCAACTAGAACTAACATACAACTAGAACTAACACTTATATTAAAAATAACACTAGCTACAATTTAGAACTAACACGACATCAACTAGAACTAACAAGTTCAACTAGAACTAATAGACCACTAGAACTAATACTTATATTAGAAATAACACTATCTACAATTTAGAACTAACACGACATCAGCTAGAACTAACACGAGAACCAGTAGAACTAACGATGATCAACTAGAACTAACAGACCATTAGAACTAATACTGATATTAGAAATAACACCAACTGAAAGTTAAAACTAACATTACATCAGCTAAAACTAACGCGAGAACCACTAGAACTAACAGGAGCTCAACTAGAATTAACATATCGCTAGAACTAACGCTTATATTAGAAATAACACTAACTGAAAAAATAGAACTAACATGAAATCAGCTAGAACTAACACGATAACTACTAGAACTAATAGGGGCTCAAGTAGAACTAACATACCACTAGAAATAACACTAGATGGAAGTAGAACTAACATGACATCAGCTAGAAATAACACGAGAACCGCAAGAATTGACAGTGACTCAACTAGAACTAACATACCACTAGAACTAACGCTTATATTAGAAATAACACTAGCTGGAAGTAGACCTAACACGAAATTAGCTATAACTAACACGAGAGCTGCTAGAACTAACATGGACTCAACTAGAACTAACATACAACTAGAACTAACACTTATATTAGAAATAACACTAGTTGGAAGTTAGAACTAACACGACATTAGCTAGAACTAACACGAAAACCACTAGAACTAACATCGGCTCAACTAGAACTAACATACCACTAGAACTAACGCTTATATTAGAAATAATACTAGCTGGAAGTAGAACTAACATGCATAATTCTTTTCTATTATTGTTTGATGTTGTTGCCTTGCGATCTTAGTCCCAGTTAGCACTTCGACTACGTCCACAACAAATTAAAGAAAGAGCTGATAATAAAATAGCTATAACAACGATAAAAGAGGAGAGAAATTCACCTCACTTTTCATTTATAATTTTCAGAAACAAATACAAAAAAATGCTTAAAAAAATTATGACAAAACAATTAATAAAAATTGAAGGTAACAAATTAAAACCTAACGTGCTTGATGCACGGCGGGTCTAAGCCAATCAAGCTTTTAATTAACAACCTAGCTAGCGATTTGATTAAACTAACTAGCTCTTGACAAAATTGTCGATAAACTTGGCCCCGGCATCCCTCGGCCAGGTGACGTCCCCCAGTCGGTTCTCGATGAGAAAGAGGGACGCCTCCTTGTTGATGGGCTCGTGCTTTTTGACCCACTCGGCCCTGGGCCTGGGGTCGTCGTTGGGCCCCTGTTGTTGTACTTGGTGTAGTAGCAGATCTTGTGGAAGTCGGCCCCGTCCCAGACGGCCCAGCCCTCGGGCCTGATCACATCCCCGATCTCCGACTCCATGACCACCATCCTCGCCTTCGCCTTCCGCGGCCTTCCCAGAGCCTGATCATTTTCAGTGGCCATGGCGAAAGCGAGAGAGAAGGAGAAGTTGAGAGATAGAGGGGTGAGAGAGAGAGAGAGAGAGAGAGAGAGAGAGAGAGATGTGATTAATGATGGAGAAATTGGGAATAAATAGTGAGAGACGCAGTAACCGAGTTCGGTCTCATCAAAGGGGCAAGTTCGTAACTTTCATTAGGTTTTTTTTTGAAATCCGATACTTTGGGGCCTCGTCACAAATATTGTGTGTATTTGAGGTTTATCCACATGAGATAGAATACAAAGTGCCCCCATCACATGAAGTTTTTACTTTTGGTGCATCGACACAATTTCCCTAAGTTTAAAACACGATGCAAACATAATAAAAGAAAGATTGTGAGATTAAGTTGTACCATTTTCTTTAATTCTCTTTACAACAGTTGTGTGTAAAAAGCTATATCATTTCTTGATGGGAAAAAAAATGTAACGGCAATTCCATAGGACTCGGTGTGAAACGCAAACGTTCATGGCTCAGCGACAAGAAGTGTACGAGAACAACGAGTCCTTCGAAGTAATTTTACAATAGAAATGCAGCGGACGCGGGAATCCGCCCGTATGCGAGATATACACTGTGCTAGCGTACATAGAAAAGGCTCCTCAATGGACGGACAAGATTTCTTTACACAGAGGGGACGGTTAGGATTTGACTGTGAAGCACGTGGGTGGAGCCCACAACCGTCCCTACTGTCGGCGCCGATCCCAGCTGGCATTCACCTGCGCCGCGGGACCCGTGAAGAAGTTGAAGGGGGAGAGAGAAGGGGAGATGCGCCACGTCACCGTTGCCAGCTAGGATCCCTTGTGCTGAGCTGTGCAGCGAAATTATTCGATGGTTAATTGTGGATTGGGATCACTTACAGAAGAAGCTACGCGGATTCGGAAGAAAAAGATAAGTTAAAATTCCTTTCTGAAAAATTCCTTTCTTTTCTTTTTATTTTTGGGCATGATTGTCTATATTGTCCTTTGGGATACAATGATTCGCTGTTTTGACTTTAATACATTGCATAGTATATCATAGGACAAATTTTCAAAACCATCCGGTTTTGAAATTTATTCCCAAAAAAAGATCCCTTTCAAATTTAATTTCAAAAACCGACCCAGTTAGTTGAAACTGTGTCTGTTTTTCAAAAAAAAAAAAATTCCAAACTTCACGGGAGTTGAACTCCCGTGAAGTTTTTTCTCATAACAAAACTTCACGGGAGTTGAACTCCCGTGAAGTTTGAATTTTTTTTTTCAAAAACCGACCCAGTTTCAACTAACTGGGTCGGTTTTTGAAATTAAGGTTAAAATTAGTCGTTTTTTATAAATACATTTCAAAAGTGGATGGTTTTAAAAATTTGTTCGTATACTTTCTTGTATGCTACTCAATTTAAAGAAAATATATTAGAAATAACCTATGCTTTCCTACACAAATAAACGCATAAATAGCGTAAATTAACTAAAACAATAAACAATATAACGCTTGTGTTCATACTGAGGGTGGTGGATTAATTAGTACAAACCGATTAAACTGACATACTGATCTAGTTTCAATGATCTGATATAACTGAAATTACAAAATTTAAACCAATCAAACTCAACATATGAGTAACTCTCTAAAACTCTAGAGTTTTCTCTTTCTAATCATTTAAAACTTTCGGCGATTAGATAGCTTCAAACTATTATTTGTATGCATCTTTAATTGGTTCAGATTTAAAAGTTTTAAATTACGAGTTCACGTTTCATCTTCAATGGGAATAGAAGATGAATGAATGTATTGAAGGCGAAAACAATGTTGTTTCTAGATGAATAATATCTCTTCATCAATTATAAAGTCCAAACCAAACAAATTGAGAAACAAAAGCGCTTAGTCAAGTTCAGCTCCAAATCTAGGATTCGGTTCAATTTAGGAGGAATGAAAATCAAAATTGAACATTTACTCACCCCCTAGTTCATAATAGATGAGAAGCTTTGGACGTTCTTACTCAATGGGGGTTGAGACTAACTTGCCATGCACATGAAAAATGAGATTAAAATTATAAGGCTTAATTCCACTTAAAAGCCCTATAGTTTCCCAGGTCTTGCACATAAATGAATTATAGTTTTAAACAGAACAAAAAATACCCTAATGTATTTAAGTGCTATAGAAGAATGCCTCAATAGTTAATAAAGAACCCAGACATCGTTATCTTTTCTCTGTGTCATGTAACATAGGGTACTAAAGGGAAACTCTTAGAAATTTTGGGGTATATATTTAAGTGATGCAATTTACAAACTTTGAGGCATTCATATATAACATTGGATAAATAGAATACTACCAACGTGCAATATTTTTAAATTTTACGGCATTAATATGCAAAACTTAAATACTTTGGAGCGTTTTTTTTCCCCCAACTTGAAAAAAGAGGTCTCACTTGAGTCCAATCTCAGGTAAACTATAGGACATTTAAGCGCAATTGAGCCAAATTATAATCCCAATATTCCTAGGATAAAAGAAAAGAATAAAATAAAAGAAAATAAAGTTTAATTCCAATTCCGCGGATAACGGTGTATACGTACATTTTGGGAGAGGGGGGAAAACGGAAAGAAAAATTCTTTAAGGACCCAAAATATGGGACCAATAGGAGGGACAAGTGAGGTGTCCCCCTCCTATTGGATAATGAGTTGGCCACCATTAATGATGACCAACTCATTATCCAATAGGAGGGGGACACCTCACTTGTCCTATTTATTGGTCCCATATTTTGGGTCCCTATAGCAAAGCTCAAACGGAAATAGGGATGTTGTCTACATTGGGAGGCATTAATGAGAGGAAACAAATAAACACGCTCGTTTGTTTTCAAAGGGAGGCCAACTGTCCGTCACGTCACGTGTACGCTGGGATCCACTGTTGAATTTTTGATCGGAAAACTATATATAGTTGACAAAGATTTATACGCTCGTAGCGAAACAGCTCGCTGACCCACAATTTGTTTCTTCTCAGCCTAAGGTTCATTACTCTTTTGTTATTCTCTTGCTTCCAAGGTTACTAGTATTAATCCCCGTGCTAAGTACGGTTTAGTGTTTCGTTTTAGACTTCTAATTAACATTAAGTTTGTATTCTGTCAAGTTTGAAACAATCAAATAACTAAATAGTGTAGCTACACTTGACAGTCAACAAAAGTTTACTCTACCAAACTTAAAAACAACCAAATAATAAGATACAAATTCAAAACTAAAACTTAATGTAGATTAAACAGTGTTGTTGAGTTTTAAAACTTCACCATATGATGAACAGTGTTGTTCTAGGTTCGACTTTTGCTGTTGCCTGAATATTGTTTAATG